AGTGGTGTGAGGAATGAGACTGAAATTTGGATTCCAGCTTATATCATCATGGGGATCGCAACTAGTGGTCAACAAGTTCAGGTTCAGTTCAGAACTGATGAACTGTTCGAAACACTCACTAGCACGAACTGAACTGTTTGAACAGTTCTTTTCAACAAAAGTGAGCTTTTTGAAACAGTTCTTTTCAAGTGAACTGAACTATGTGAACTGTTCCTTCGAACGAACTGTAACTTTTCAAAGAGTTCAGCTCTATGAATTGATCCCATAGGTCTTCAAGTCCTATATTATACGGGTACCTATGGGTGCTAGAGTCCTATACTATGGGGATATCTATAGGTTCTCAAGTCCTATATTAAAGCGGTGTCCATAGGTCCTCAAGTTCTATATTGTGTGGGTACTTAGAGGTCCTCAAGTCCTACTATAGGAAGGTACTCTTGGGCCTTCAGGTCCTATACTAAGAGACTAATCATGGGTTCTCAAGTCCTACTATAAAAAGTACTCTTGGATCCACAAGCCGTACTATGCTGACGTACTATTCGGATCTCAAGTGGTATACATCGGGGGTTAGGGCTGTATGGGTGATGCTTATGAACGCGAGCGTTCCATCTCTACTTCAAGTATACGGACTGTCGATAAGAATCGAGCGGTATTTATCTGTGATGGTTACCGTTGTCTAGCGGAAGCTTGTGAGTCATTAGTTGAGGGCTCTTTGGTCCGAGCTCTATGTTCCTAGCATCCACTCATCAGATTCGAGGCAGTACATTCTGAGCTTTTATCAGGGAAGAATATACCGACGTTCGAGTGAAATTGAAGCGTAACTGCGATAAGTCTAGATTAGCCCAAGTAACCGAATGGTTTGTCCTACAAATAAAAGAGGCAAAGAGTCTCTTAGAATTTGATTGTCTGATAGTTTTTCTTCGTCCGATCAAACTGTATGGAGTTCTTTCTCGACTTTTTTAATGGAGAAAATATGGATATTCGAGTCAAATGAAGGCGGGCCACCGATAACCTAATGGTTAGCCCGAGCAACGATGTGTTTTATCGCGTGCGCAGATGAAGAAAGGACTCTGAGATCTGGTTTGCTGGTAACTTTCTCTTTGGGCCAATTTGATTGCAAGGAACTGTTTCTTGACTTTTTTCGGCGAAGAACATACCGACGTTCGGGACAAATGAAAGTGATAACCAGAAAAACAGAAGTGGTCAGAACAACCATTTGTTTTAACTTGATAATAGACGAAAGAAGAATTCGAAATCTGATTGACTATCAATTTTCTTTTTCAACCAGTCAGTGTGCGAGAAACTTTTTCTCAGTAGTTTTCAGGAAAAGACATTTGGATGTTCTAGTCAATTGAAAAAGGACCCGAAGAAACCAAGAATGAGTTCGAACAACCCTATGTTTTGTACTAAAAATAAAACGGAAGAAGCCTCTTGAAATTTGATTGATCGGAAAAAAGAGCTATTAGCTAATCAGAATTCAGGGTCCTTTTTCACATCTATTGCCAAGGCAAAACATATGGTTGTTCGGGAAAGCTCTTGGCTTGTCGGGATGCTGTTCGATTTGATACGAAGATTGGTATGTTTTCCAATAAAAGTTGAGAAACAACTGTCTCGGATCCGATAGGTTGACGCTAGGAGCTTAGCGCCTAGGCTGACGAGCCGTTAGCAGGTGGGTCCCGAGCTTCCACTGGGCGGCCATAACTTTCACAAGTAAAATCGGGCCGCTTCTTATCGGTAACTTGTATATTTCAAGTAGAGATGAAATACCCACGCTGATAAGCGTCAATTGTACAGCCCTAATTTCGGATGAAAATCACTTGAGTGTCCAAGAGTGTGTCATCATGATATGCCTATGGGCCCAAGGGCACCTCCCAGTATAGGATCATAGGACCAATGGTTACTCCCCGAGTATAGGAGTTGAGAAGCCAACGGTACCCCTGTGGAGTAGGACTTGAGGACCCAAGGGTACCTCTAGTATGGGGCTTGAGAACGCAAGAATATCCCCTTAGAATAGGATTTGAGAGCCCAAGGGCTACCCCATATAGTAGGACTTGAGGACCTAAGGATGCCTCCTTAGTATAGGATTTGAGGATCTAAGTTACTTTCCTATAGTATCTGCAGTAGAGACTTACGTATGAGAGCACGCAGATTTCCTTCAATTCCAGCCTCTTAAGATCTTTGAGAATCGTTGGGAACC